ATGTATTTTATATATGTACTATTTTAAGATAATGAATGTATTATCTCAAATTTTTTTATTTAGAGCTTGGTTTTAAGGGAAATACCCTAAACCATATTTGCATTAAATAATATTTATCAGAAAAATATTCATACATGATGTCTTGAGTTAAAATGAAAATGCTATTAATAGAGACAAAATAATCATTAATATGCTAAGAAACTAGTGAAAAAATACATAAACATGTGTGTATGTAACATGAACAAAAAAATTGGGAGTAAATGAGTCGAACTCAATCGATCTACCATCAATTTGAGCTTGAGTTTGATTCTTTAATAGAGTTCAAGCTCAAGAGCTGCCTCACGGGCCGGCTTGTTCATTATGAAATGGAGAAAAATATATTGATTCAACCTTGAGTTATAATAGAATGATAATTTGGATGAATAATTAAAAGATAAATAAAATCAAATCACTAAATATAAAATGTAATTAGAAAATCTTTTTTTTTCTAACAACTTTTATAATGTAAAAATAAAATATTAAAATTTCAAATAATTTGGATATACTTTATATTAATTAATTTTAAAATGAGTGTCGAGCCAGGGTTAACCTGAACTTGACTTATTAGTTCATGAGCTCACTTTGTGAACCACTTATCTAGCACATCCCTAATCAATCCACGAGACGCCTTCCTCACTTAACACCCCTAATCAAAGCCCATAAATCTAGAGTTTTTAATGATGATTTATAAAATTTAATTTTCCGAATAAAGGAATATATTTTGACATAACCAAACATCTAATCCACCGCAGAAGGATAGATGGACCGAGGAAGAAGAAGACATGCTGGTTCAAGCACACAAGGAAATAGGGAACAGATGGGCCGAAATCGCAAAACGCATTCCAGGCAGAACCGAGAACTCAATAAAGAATCACTGGAACGCAACAAAGAGGAAGCAGAATTCAAAGAGAAAACTTCGAAGAAAGGCCATTCATGGAGATGCCAGCATTCCTAAACTCACTGCTCTCCAACAATACATCAAAAGCCAAACTTTAAGCTTACCAGCTCATCAAACCAAACCTACCACCACCACTATTCATTCGAGCGCAACAAATGAAGTCCAGATGAAGCTTCCTGTTCAGCCACCACAGCCTGATCATGGTTCTCAGCTGGCATGCCAAATGGTTGAGGAATTGCTCTACATGGAAGAAGAAGGAGGGGATTTGTTGGGCTGTTCGGATATGGAGTATGTGTCACAGTTCTTGAATGCGGAGGAGGAAAGCTTTCCTTCCCCTGTTTCTAATGTTACTTGTGCTGGTTTTGAGGCTGGAAGTGAAGGTGGAGGAGGAGGAGGAGGTGGAGGTGGTGGTGGTGGGAGTGATCAATTACAGTGGGATTTCTACTTGTCTAATCTGCTCGGTGGACCTTCGCTTCCTGCTATAGATGAGTTTGGGGGTTCTAATGCTGGCGCTGTAGCAGCTGCGGATGCTCAGGCTTCTGCTATGAAATCAGGAGATATGGATTTGACGGAGATATTCCATTGGCATTTGTCACATTTGAAGGGATATAACTAGAATTTTTCAGCGGTGCTGAACTCTTTTTTTTTTGGTTTTTTTGAGAGAATTGCGGATGAATTTATTTAGTTTTGTGATTCACGATGGATTTTGTGTCAGTTTTTAATTTTTTCGGACTTATGAAGGTGTAAAATGTGATATGAAGTTGTTGTAAGATTTCTTGGCATGTTTTAGTAGGTATATTCATTTTTTTTCTATCAAAATTATCACTAAGCCGTGGATAGACGGTTAAAGAATTTTCTCAAGGTCCGACCGATCACATCGCCAGGCGCTAATGTGTATAATGATGCGATGCCGTCAGTTAGCCGTCTGAATGTGCGATGTTCATACGTAAATTTTTTTTCAATTATAAGACTCTCGTCTGAACAAATAAATGTTATGAAGTCTGTAATTACAAATTGTGCAATACTTTGAAAGTTGTTGTAGATATTACAAATGATTTACACTGTGCAATAATTATATAATATTTTTGTTAAAGTTATTGTGCTAGAATGTCTGGTTTTATAGCACACTTGTTTCTTCTTTAAAATTCCTGAAAAATAATTACCTAATAAAGATATAATAATACCAAATAGTTAAGAAGTTGGAAAACTAGAAGAGAGCGGAAATTAATTGATGAAAAGTGGGGCTGTAGATACTTCTGAAAAACAATAAATGAGTTGAAATGAGTCGCAACACATGATTTTTTAAATTGCAATGAAATGTGTTTGTAATGGTTCATTTCTGCAAGGAGGAGGTTTTTTTTTACAAATTATACTAAAAAGGCAATAAAATGAAGTTGTTAATTTGAAGTGGAATGTAATTAACTGAAGCAAGTGAACATGAATCGACACAAATTCAGAAGCACATAAAGATTTAACGAGGTTCGGCAAAGATGCCTACGTCCTCGAGAGCAGAGCGGCAAATTCCTTTCACTAATTCAGAAAATAGGTTACATAATAGAGGATATCTCCTAGGGTTACTAACATATATATTTATAACCCAATGAGTAAACCCTAAGTACAATGTGTAATTAAAGCATTACTCATGTACCGTACCATGGGGCTTTGCCCCGATTTAAACATAATATTCCGCTCCGCTCCGCTCGTCTCCGCTTCGATCAAGCGTCTGTCTCTATATGGTATATAAGTCATACCATAACACGATCAATTTCGTATGTCAGGTTAGAGTTAAGATTTTAGCCCATTTTATTTTCAAGTCGGGTTCGAGTTGACCCGCAAATTCATAAATGACCCAAAACTTACCTGCTAACTTAAAATTTGTAAGAATTCTACTGGTCAATTTAATTGATTCTAAATTGAATTGAAATTGAGTTGAATTTCAATTAAATTTTTACATATTAAACAACTAAATGTTCATATTTATATGCATGTTATTCAAATTTTTAACATTATTTAACGAATGTCATCATTAACGGCTATTATTTAAAATAAAAAATACACATTTTTCTTATATAAGATTAAATGTTAAATTTTTTTGTGCTAGATATTTAAATGCAGAAGAAACGCATGGTATACATGTAAAATTCTCTTGAGAAAATAATATCCACGAAAAAAATATTACATCAGGACTCCGTATGTAGAGTTACGTGTGAAATCCAATGAAATTATACCATTGAGGTGTTTGACCCGGTAACACAAAAGAACATTTCCCTTGTGTTATTCCGTGTTATTCAGATGTTATTGTACGTTATTCAGATGTTATTATGTTATGAGAATATTCTCGGTGTTATAATAATACAATAACATATCAATACCACTTCAATAACACACAATAACACCTGAATAATATATAATAATACATGAATAACACGAGGTGAATATTCTATTATGTTATCAGACCGATCACCTTCACAACGTAATTTTATTGGACTCCTGATGTAATGTTTTTTCAGTATTCAGAAGCTCATAGCTGATGTAATGTTTTTTCATTATTCAGAGGCTCATAGCTGTTAATTATCTTTTTAAATTTTTAACTAATGGGAGTTAATTATCTTATTTTTTAACTTTTTATGCTTTAATGGTGGGGCCCACCACAAACAAAGACCCCTAAATCTTTTTTTTGCTTTTAATTAATTAATAACTTCAGTGTCTCTCCCACTAACTTCTTCAGACTAATTCCTGCGATTTTTTTAGCCCTCATCTCAACTCTTTAACACAGCTCCACTCGGCCTCTGAGATGTCTGGATCCCCTTCTGTTCCTGGAATCTAATCATTCTTGCAGGCTGGTCACTGTTCGCTTCTTCGCGCTTTGGTTTGCGTGCCTTGTGGATCTGGCCCGACGATGTGGAAGGGCGGCGTCGATGAAGCCTTCCGCGGTGCTGGAGCAAAGGCGTAAGTCCCCCATTGCGCTGCCATTTACTTCTTGTTTCTTTCTCTAGTGCTACTTTAGCAACGATTTCTCAACTGTAAAGACTGAGCACTAGTGCAGATTCAAAACTTCTGATTAGTGGAAAACTGAAGAGATCTCTGTTTGATATGTTGGTTGGGTAGAGGTAATGAAAACGAAGTGAGGGCTTCGCTGATTTTATCAGAATTTAAACGTAATATCATTGTTTGATTATATCTGAATACATTTTCTAAAGAAAAACCAATATTTGATTTTTATGAGGGAAGTGGAATTTCTGCCTTCCTGGAGGGTGGAAAAAAATGTCAACTAGTTTTAGACTTACTGGTTTTTGGTAGCATATTATTAATTGGATTTAGCTTTGGATTTAACTTAAAGCTATGCAAACACCAAAATACATAAATAAATCCAACACTCCCTTGAATCTAATTTTTTTGCATTTCATCTTCATTTTTATTCCTATGTGTTACACCACTTTTGTGACGTAAATCCGGATTTTTGAAATTTGATTGCGAGCTAGATTTATTCCATCGTCACTTGCAATCTCTTTCATCACGGTCTGAATTTGATAAATCTAGATTTCATGCGGACCACGATATATGGTGTGAATCATGATTTGTTGAAATCATGCATATCACATGCAAATGCCGTCCAAATCTGATTGGTTTCGGTTGACTGTCATGGGAACACTCGAATTATGACCATTCTTGGACATTTTCTTAGTTGATTTTTTTTTGGGGTCATTTTGATCCCATAAATAAGTGATAAAGAGGAGGAAAAACGTGAAGTCTCTCGGTTTACTAACAAATGATCAACAAGACTCCTAAAATAAAAAAAAAAATGTGCGTCCTCCGGTCTACTAGCAGACGCTCAACCGAAATCTCAGAAGAAAAAGCTAGAGTCCCTCGATATACTAACAAGCGATTAGTTGGGCTCCCGGAAGAAAAAAAAATGTGGAATTCTCTGATATGTTAGCAGGTTATCAACGAGAATCCCTGAAGAAAAAAATACAATTTTTTGGCTTGCTAATAGGCGATTAACGTGGCTCAGAGAAAAAAAAAATTGTGGAATCACTCAGAAGAAAAAATGTAGATTCCCTCGGCCTGCTAGCAGGCATTCAACAGGGCTCCCAGAAGAAAAAAAGTGGCCCCCCAGTCCTCTTGTGTGATCTACGGAGCTCCTCTTTCGCGTTGCTGTCACAGTTTTTGAAGTAGATTTCTCATGCTACTGTGGTGATTTCTAGAGGGTTTTTCACTTTACTGTTATACTTGCCGGGGTAGATTTTTAACGCCGCTGCAACACTTTCTAGGTGAGATGTCCCGCGTTGCTTGGGTGATATCTGGAGGAGATTTTATTGAATTGCTGCATGCTTTTTGGAGGAAATTTTCTGCAGTGTTGTTACGCTTTTTGTGGGAGATTTCTCTCGCTGTTGTAGTGAGTTCTTGAGGAAATTTTTCACATTACTATTATGGTTTCAAGAGCGAATTTTTCATGCTGTTTCACACTTTCTGGTGAAGATTTCCCGTGTTGTTGCTGTGATTTCTAGAAGAGAATTTTTTGCATTGCTGTCACACTTTCTGGAAGGAAATTTTTAGGGCGCTGTCGCGCTTTCTTGAGGAGATTTTATGTACTGTTAATATACCGATATCTGGAGAGTTCCATGCCCTAGAAATTTGAAGTACTTGAATTTTGAAGAAGCGATAACGACACCATTTTAAAATGAGCCGACCTTTTTTTCGAGGGCACGAAAGATCGGGCTAGCAAAGATCAACCATACTTTTGGTGATCATGAGAAGAATTTAGAACGCAGAGACTTTGCATGCTTTTCAAGTGAGGATGCTAGCTTTTGGAAAAGAGAACATGAAGCTGCGGACCTTCTAATGATAAAGAGGATGTCGCAGCGAATTGAAGTCTCTAATGATTTATTTAATTGATTATATATATATATTGTAATAATATAAAATTTTATTATTTAGGACTTTTGGTTAGAATCTAGATTTGGAGGGGAATAGAAGGTGAATTGTGCGAGCTAGATGACAAGGAAGTTTGACCCGAACAAACTTCAATAATGAAAAAATTGGATTTATATTACGATTTATTTAATGACTTTAATAACAAAATAAAACTAATTAGGATTTCATGAAGAAAATTCATGAATATTTAATACTTAAATAATGTAATTTTAATAGCTAATTAAAATGATAATTGATTAAACCTTTGAAATATGAATACTCATGTTTATTATAAGCTTTAATTTTAGAAGAGTCGACGTTTGGGAAAATCTAGTAATAAATTAATCTTCATCGTGGTGAGTACTCGTACTTTTAATCTATAATAATTTTATATTTCTTCTCAACTATTTTGCTTTAGTAGTTAATGATGTTTGTCCAAGCTTTATTTTGATTGATATGCTCTTTTTCTTTATTGGCCACATTGTTATGAATTTTCATAGCTACTTATTGTCATACTTTGGTGAATGCTATATATATAGTATATTGAATTAAATGCGATGAACGTATGAATGATATACCTATATTGATTTTTTGTATGTGCATGACTGACTATGATGTAGTTACTTATTTGTGGTACTAGTGAGAAAACACTAAGATATTTGTGCACGTAAATGAAACATGATATTGATATTGAAGTACCTTAATTGTTATAACTCTTAGATGGTGCTCTTGTGTTGGTTGTACATATATATAATGATAATAAAAATAGTAAAATTTATTGAATAATATCATAATATATAGATTTATTAAAAATTTAATTGACATGCATATTATGCTTTTTCAGTTGTATTATTGTAGTTTAGGAGTTGATACTATCTTTGTTTAGCTCACAGTTATGTTAAAATAACTTTTCAGGTAAATTTAATTTATTAAAAGATGAACGATAAAATAAAAAATATTTATAGAAGGTACAAATAACATGTAAAACGATAAATTTAATTATATTGCTCTTATTTGATTATTGAATGTTGCTTTAGTCAATAATTATTTATAGAAAATGAACATAAAAAATTTAATTCTCACAATCCGACCGTCTGTATCCTCTTTGGTTAATTTCAAACCCTAGGCCGGGTAGTGACACTTTTGAAAGTTGGGACGAGTGGGGAAACAACCCCTATCTTCTAGAGGAAATTTTTCTCGAACCAGACACCGTAGCTCGTCATGGATCAAGTTTTCGGGAGTAACAACAAGGTGCGACTGGGCCAAGTTTTCTGTGAGTGTCGGAGGGTTACCAATCGGTCTAGCTATGCGAGATCGATAAGTGGAGTTTAAAGGATCTCATTATATTACTCTTCTATCCAGTGCATTTGATTCTTCAAAGAGGGACTCGATGCGCCTTTGCTAGCAGGATAGTGTCTTCCAGGGTGGGAAGCGGTAGAGGCTTGGCGTCCTTGGCTTCGTGACTACCCTCTAGAATGGTGGGTATTGAAGTGAGATGCTTCGTTGTTGCGAGGATTGCGTCTGGTGGTCATTTGACAAGTTTCAAGAGTTCATTGATGGTGGGATTATGATTCTCATAAACGGTGTCAAATTGATGTGTGCCAAGGAATTCTCGGCGGCAAAGTAATGAATATCGCCTTAGCCTTGTATTAGAATCCAACACACTCAGGTAATGAAAGTGAAAGGTAGAAACAATACAAGTTTTTATTTGAAAAACCTTTAAAGAAAGAAAAACCACGGCTCCTAGCTCAGTTGAAATAATCCACTATGGGTTTGTGATTACACGTTCAGATCCTAGTCCAACATATGTGAAATGATTACATAATTTCTCTAGTTACAACGGCCGTGCACAGAAGAGCTTACTACCTTCTCGTAGTGGAACAATCTTAGCGGGGAGCAGTTATTGGAGCTTTCGTATACTTTCGTTGAAGTTGGCACGACGTTTGGATGATGTACTGTTCTTTAGGATGCTTCGTGACTCTGCGGCGTACGTGCAATGTACAAAGCACATAACAGTTTGTAGTGACAAAAAAAATTAAATTTCTTTGGTTGCTCGATTGCAAAAATGGCTTTGATAATATTGTTGTTATTGTCAGCGGCTTCATTAAAAGTTTTGTTGAACCTGAAATTGTCCTTAAAGACCCCCCTACAGATTGACACATAAGAAGCACTATGTGTGTCTTCATTGCAGCCAATTGTTGCAAAAAGAGGAATGAGAGCTGCTCGACCGAGGCAATGCTGGAACTACCTTTGCACAACATCCTGGATGCTGTTCACAAATAATCTGGGCTTGATAGAATCAGATATACTGTGCATAGACTTGATGTTCTCGAATGTTTCAAGGTGGTTTGATGGTCTGTTGTTCCACTGTATGTTTCTAGATTATGGGCTTTAAACTTCGGGCTTTAAACTTCCGCAGGACTACCTCCTCACTATTTCAGGAATGGAGGAAGATTTTGCTACTTGAGAGCAAATATGATGGTTTATGTTTATGTTAATAAAAATCCAATATTTAGATATATTGTGCTAGTTTTAATTTTTCAAAGACAATAATGAAAATATGTATGATATATTTATTTATTTTCTTTATATTTAACATTTTTATATCTTGATCACTTCTCCTATATTTCATGTACTTCTTCCTATTCTCTTCAAATTATGGCTCTGTTTAATCTTCCTCTCATGTTTTCCTAATTCTCAGAGGATTAGAAATTTGGTGCATTGAAAATCTCAGGCCAGTCCTGGTTCGTAAATCCTCCCATGGAAAGTTTTTCTCTAGAAGTGCATATATAGTTTTGAATGTAAGTTGCTTACACTGGTCTTTAACCTCTTTTACAAGAAGTCCTATTTGAATTTCATTTAAATCTTCTGTTCATATTAAAAGCTCAAACTGAATAACAGTTAGAACTAAATAATAGTAATTGTTCAGTACTTTGTCCCATTTTAACAGACAGCTATTCTTAGAAACGGAATTTATCAGCATGATATACATTACTGGGCGGGGAAGGATGCTGAGGAGGTTTGTCAATAAGTAAAACTTCAATCTTTGTTTCATTTTTCTAACTGGTTCTGTAATCATTTATTATTTTAAGCTCACTATTGTGAACTTTAGGATGACTCCAATCTGGCATCAGATAAAGCCCTTGAGTTGGATGCAGCATTGGGATCTCGTGCTGTCCACTACAAGGAGGTTCAAGGAAATGAAACGGAGAAGTTCTTGTCCTATTTCAAACCCTGCATTATACCTATTGAAGGAGTTTTCACTTCAGAAATACAAGATGATGGCAATGGAGGATACCGAGTTACATTGCTGGCTTGCAAGGGGGATCATGCTATCCGTGTCAGAGAAGTAGGCTCCCCTAAGTAGCACTATCATAACTCTTTCAGAATTACTGCTCTTTATTTATGAGATCCTTTCTTATGTTCGTGTTCGTTGCAGTAACCTTCCTGAATTATTGCATATTGAATACACTATGATAGATTTTTCTTTTTGTCAATATCATTCCCTCAGGTTCCCTTTTTGCGGTCCTCTTTGAACCATAATAATGTATTTATACTGGACACAGAATCAAAAATTTTTCTTTTTAGCGGTTGTAATTCCAGCATACAAGAAAGGGCTAAAGCTTTGGAAGTTGTTCAGTACATAAATGAGAATCAGCATAGTGGAAGGTGTAAAGTGGCTACAATTGGTATGTCTAGTTTACATATTTCTAAAAGATTCCTTGCTGCAAATTATTAACAGAAAACTAGCGCAGAGGATGGAAAATTTGTTGGTGATTCTGATGCTGGAGAATTCTGGAGCTTTTTTGGCGGTTATGCTCCCATTCCACGGGAATCACAGAGTACTGAGCAGAATGAAAAGCCTTCTGCTGCAAACCTTTTTGGGTGGGCACTGTTACAAAGACCTAAGTTTACTGTTGTGTCTCCCTGTTTGAATGCATTTTCTGACCTTGTAGAAATGTAGAATATGCCATGGTTAACATTCTTTTTGAGAAGCAGAAATAATGTTTGCAGTTTTCTACACTTTTTTTTCTTCTTTTTAACTGTAATATCTTACGGTTAATCTTTTTTCAGCTTCAATAAAGGCAAGTTGCTTCTTCTTGATTCGCTTTCTTTAGCTAAAGGGCTGCTGAGCTCTGATAGGTGCTATGTGTTGGATTGTGGCGCTGAAATCTTTTTATGGATGGGAAGGACTACATTGGTCAGCGAAAGAAAGGCATCTATTCTTGCAGTGGAAGTAAGAATTGCCATATTTTGGAAAATATTTCTTGAATGTTCTGTAGATGATTTGTTAAGATCTACTTTGGCTCATGAATCTTGTGTTATCCAAAAGGCGTCAATTTATCTGTATGTAGAAAAACTTAAAAGCATTGAGCAGAGTATTTGAGGTGGTTTTTCCAGGGTTTATAGGCATTGTGCATAACGTTTCTTTGGCCTTATTAGTTCTTCCACTTTCTCGTTCTCTCCCTTTTTCATCTATCTTTTGTTATTGGCTCACTTTTTCTCTCTCGGCTTGTCTACTGAATGCTTAGAAGAGCTTAATTCTTGATCTTATTGCTTGACCATACTGATGTCTGACTGTTCGAAATGTATAACTATGCATGGTCATGTGATATAAGCTATCACTGTGTTTTTAGAGCTTACTAACTTCATCGCTTTCCTTTGTATAGATAAATTGATACTGCTGGTGAACTTGTAACATATTTATGTTTGCTTTGTTAAACAGTTCGTGATCTTCTTCTCCAGAAAATGTAATTTTGTTTTTTCTTTGTGAATGTAATTTTGTTTGTTCTTTGGGTATTCATTTTTTTTATATGGTACCGTTCTGCTACTTTCCTCAATATTTCCTTAACAGTTTTTTTCAATTTTTTTTTTCTTGTGAGCCATATATCGTTCTGTGCAGGAATTTATGCACACTCAGGACAGACCTGTGAGCATCCACACAACTTTCTTGACTGAGGGATCTGAAACTGCTAAATTCAAGTCATATTTTAAAGATTGGCCGCAAAATGCAGCACCCAGCCTGTATATAGAAGGCAGAGGGAAAGTAGCTGGTTGTATTATATGATATTCTTTATTCAAAGAATTTTACTGATAATTCTATAAAATGACATGCTTTGCCTGTACATGATATAGCTATATTCAAGCATCAGGGATATGACGTGAAGGAAATTCCTGAGGATGATTATCAACCAATAATAGACAGCCATGGCATCCTTAGCGTAACTTATAAGTTTTCCTTCAATTTTGTTTGTTAAATATCTTGTGCGGCAGAAATCATTGACATGGGATCAACTTTTGTTTAGGTTTGGCGGGTTAATGGCCATGATGCCACTCCACTTTCTTCTGCAGAACAGGCCATGCTTTACAGAGGAGACTGTTACATTGTCAAGTATATTTATTCTGAAAATGCCAAGGATAATAATGTATTTTATGCATGGTTGGGGTTGGACAGTACATTGGTATGTATTGAAGTTTGCACAAGAATCTCATTTGGGTGGATATTGAAAGTTAATTTCTTACCTTGACTCATCTCTGATGATGGACAAGTTGAGACTATTAATATTGTGATGCAGGAAGATCAAGTTAATGCGCTCTCCCTAATGACAAGAATGACAGAATCAATTAAGGGTTCTTATGTCATGGTTTGTGTTAATTTTAAATTTTGGTAATACTTTTATAACTACTGCCTTTTCCCTGTTTAACCATTCAACCATGACAATGATAGCTTCCATAATTTTAGTTCTAGCATCATTGCTCAAGTTATTCGTACTTTTTTTAAATAGCAGCACTTTTTAAGGAGGCAGTTGCCTTTATCGAAAGTTAAATATCATTTGAAAAGAAGAAAGTTTTTGAATTCTGTCCTAGATTTGGGATATTGAAAGTTAATTTACTCATCGCAAATCTTTCAGGCTCAAATTTGTGAAGGTAAAGAACCACAACTCTTCTTCTCGATTTTCCAGTCTCTCGTTATTTTAAAGGTGAGAGCATTCTTTGTGCAATACGTAAGTGTGCTGTTGGCAGTCATAAATTGAGCATGCATCTACCTTTTTGTTGGAATAAACTTATAGGGAGGATTGAGTTCAGGATATATACTGTTCCTATCAGAACAAGGTATCACCAATGAAACTTATGACAAAGATAAATTGGCTTTATTTCGAGTTCAGGGGTCCTCCCCTCGTAACATGCAGGCCATCCAAGTTGATCCTGTAAGTGGAGCAAAGCCATCTTTTTCTGCTTATTTTACACCATATGGAGCAGCCTTTTAGTAATTTGCATCGTATAGAGTAGCAAAAAGCTACTAGCTTCATGTGCATTCCTATTTTTTATGGGAATCATCATGGAAACATCGTTATTCTATCTGATCACAAAATACTTTTTTTGCTATTAAGCATCATCCACCTTCCATGAAATGGCCTGTTTTGCACAATTACAAGCTGGTATAGATAATGTATGAGAGGGATGGAATATTTAATAGCTTGGTCTCTTTTCCTACTAGACTAATAAATAACCCCTTGATGTTTTACAATACTGTTTCTGTTGGATGCATTTAAAGAGGTGTTACTGTCTACATTTTATACTTTTAAAAGATTTTTTTTTAGTGAGTTTTCATTTTTATTGTTTACGTTGAGAATCCATTATTTCCAGCGCTTTTTCAACTTCCGCCTTTGTAGTAGTATACTATATGAATGTTTTCAAAATTTTCCTTAAAACCATTTTTGTTGCCTGCTTCTGCCTCGATAATTTTTTGGTTTGAATTCAAAGCACAAATCATTTGCACTAATATGACCATATTATCACATTTATTGATATTTAAGAAATTCTGCTAATCTTGAAAGAAACCTGTCAACAGCCTATTTGACAAATCAACCAGCAAATGAGATAGCAGGTTTGGTGAAGTTAGCCTAGTATTAAAATGTTGTTAAATCAGCTATCTAGACTCTAGATGTTGTTACTCAGTCTAACCATTCATTTGCTTCAATGTATTCTACTTTACTTTGTCTTGTCCTTATTGTTGTTGATGTTGATATAGATTCCACGATTTATAATGAGCGAGGATGAAGTCTAAAATGAATATTGAATGTCATGACATTTGAGTTAGATCGAAATTAACTCGATTATTGTCGAAATCATTCAAATGACATCCATTTATAAAACAAAGCAACTCAACAATCGTAACGCAGGTAGTTTTAGGCATATTATTTTATTATGTACTAAATTATTAAACAAATGCTTGACATAAATGTTCAAAGGAATCTGTTGATTTATAAAGTGAGCTTTATATTTTTATTTTTATAAAAAAAATTATTAAATCATCTTAATCAATTACATTTTTATCATCTTAATCAATTATAAATTTTATTTATTTTTCCTTTAAGAGGTTATCTCAGTAGCACGGTTTAAAATTGGTACAAAGAAATGTTTAACTATTTTCATTTTCATTTTTATTTCAATTTCTTTTTTCTTTTTTTTCTTAACGTACACAGATACAATAGGATGCCAACTAGTACTATATAAAAGCGTGACTCTTGATAAACTTAAGATTAAAACATATGAATTTACATCTTAAACACCTAAACTTTGATATGCACTAATTAACCGCCCAAATCCTATATGGCTTTCAGATTTAGCACTCCTAGTTATTTGTCTGCATAGTTTGCTGGCCTCCCATGATTATGGACTCCTAACTGGTCGTTGTTGTCTTCGTCATCCTTCTTTCTATCAAAGAATGACCGAATGCTCATTTCAAGCACCTGCTGGCTCTCAAAAGCCCTAATTCGTTTTTATGATGCCACCCGACAAGAAACAGATCTGGGGAAAAATGTCGTCTCTGTTTTTTTTTCTAAAAGTTTTTTATGATAATTTTTTGAGGAAATTAAGATATATATATATATATATATATATATACAATTTATTCATCTTTCTTTTAGATTCTTTCTATTTCATCTAAAATCTCTCAGGCATCATATGCTTGCTATTGATTACAAGGAATTGGAAAGATGTAAACATTGCTGCTCCATAAAAAAAACCACTTTGGTTGCTGGCTAAAGCTGGTTTCCTGCTCTATTTGGCTTCCCGTGTTTGAGCAGAAAGTCTTGATATTTTGTAGAGAAATTTTAAAAAAAGGGACATTGATGTCGCCATCAGCGACGAGGGGCTGTGAGGGAAAGATTAGATGTCGGTGTGAAGGCGGTTTAGAGAGGATGATATCACCGTCTACATTCTTAGGGTGAGCGACGGGCTGTGAGAGGACGAACCACTGAGGTGACTGATGGTGTAGAGAAATTAACGGAGAGTGCTAAGATTGAAAGCCGGATAGATATTGGGTGTTCAGACTTTTTTTCTATCCGCATCATTCCTTGGGTGTTTCGTCCAGTTCGAATGAGGTGCTCGTCTCCTAAGTAGAACCATCAAAACGGTTATTCTGTTTCAAACCGAGCCAAAAATTAAATTTTCTTTTTCTTATTATTATTTTTATTTTTTTATATAAAATTATTACGCCTTCTTCTCGGTTCACAGAAAACCACGGAACTCCATTAGAACTCCCCTCCGTCTTCCTGTCTTTATCTGCAGCAACATAATCAATGCCATGGGTGAGGCCAATGTATATATTAAAATATATAAAGTTCTTTATAAGTTAAAGAATTTAAATTCAAAGAGCTCCACATACATTGATCCAACCAAATAGTGAAATCTAGTCATCTCTATCACTTTATATTAAATGCAACCAGATGTACATTAACAGAATCATGATTTTCATTAAGGCTATACTTGTTATTCATATGTCAAAAGATCTTACCAATTGCAGAGTCTATTTGATAGCAACTGCCATTATCTAATACTGTTTAATGTTTTTAAGTTTCAGTGTCATAACTCGAATCCTTACTTTTCAAAGTAGCTTTGTTTGGCATATCATTTGCATTTAAAAATTTAAGGAACGTTTTTACTATTTTACACCAATCAGCAAATAAAGAATGCTTCAAGATTTACTCCATCTTCTCAGACATCAAGTCTAGCTCTTTGTGCTAAAAATATTAATTGTTTTAGACAAGATAAAAGTTTTTGCTGAACAAGGATTGAATTTACTTACAGCTGAAAGTATATTTCAGGTTTCTTATTCACTCAATTCCTCTTACTGCTATATATTACAAGATCAAACAACTTTCTTCACTTGGGTGGGGAGTCTCTCATCACCTAGAGATCATAATCTTGTTGACAGTTTGCGGGACCAGCTAAATGTAAGATGTCTTTCTATATGCATTCTTATTACTTCTTAGTGACTCCGCTTCATTCCAGTTGTTAATCCTTGTGAACTGGATTTATAAGAGAGCTTGTTGCAACTGGGTTTCCCTAACGCAGTTCAGAAGTAGCACCTATTCTGTGTGTCTAGTATTTTTATTAGCAATTCTCAGATTGATAATCATTTTGATGACATCCACAGGAATTTTGAATACAATTTGAAATCCTCTCAAGGAAAAATATAATACATCTTTTAACGAAATTATAGACTGCATCTTTTTGGAATATTTTATTTGGGTAATGCAAATAAAATCTTCCCCTTGGTCTACTCAAAATCTTTTTCCATCCTAATTTGTTTACATGAGATTATATTGCTTGAATGCAGACTATACTCATTATCCTGGCCATGAAAATGCAATTTATCTTAAGAACTGGTTTTATAACGGTAAAATGTTGTGTACTGGCACATGACAATGACAATCTTTTTATTTTATCCTGAGCCATGACATTGGTGTATTTAGGTTTATATTTAACAGTATATATGCTAAATTACTATGCAGAAAACAGCCATACACACATTACTTAATCTTTGTGATAATGAGAGCAAACTTGAGCAACCCAATTGTCTCACATGATTTCGTTAAGTTGATAATGAAAAATCATTATTGACGTTGTTTTAATAGATATACGGAAGAAAAACATACTTTGGGAGAAAAGATTACTTACGTACTTTCATGATTCTCACATAAGTACAATGATATCTACTAATTTACAAACATTCCTAGTATATCTAATCTTAAATAATTAAAGGAGGTAATTGTGAAATAATATAATATAAATATAAATGGGAAAAAATAAAAACTAATATTGGAGTTTCCAAAGTTGACTTCCACTTGATCCTTCAAGATCCTTGTAGGTGGTCGGCCGGTTCCTACCTTCCTGAATTTCCACACTACTCAAGCTGTGTCATAGATGCTGTAAAGACCCAACTTGGTATTTAACTCAGTGGAGGTAGAGTTTTGATGAAGACATCAACGACTTTGAGATGGGTTGAAATGTCTATCAAATGAATATTACCACCATTGACCTTTTTAAAGATAAAATATTTATCAATTTCTATGTGTTTAATCCTGCCATAATGCACATGATTCTTTACAATACCAATGACAGCTTGGTTGTTACAGAACATTTTCATTGGATTGACCGTGGAATACCCCAAATCAGTTAGTCACATTTTTATCCACATTCCTTCACAAATTCCCGAAGCAAGTTGATACTCATATTCAACACTATTTCTAGAGACCACTACGTGTTTTATGCTCTTCCATGTGACAAGATTTTCTCATACACATAAGCAATATCCATATATGGATATCCAGTCAATAAATTCTTCTGCCCAACTTTCATCAGTGTAAACCTCTACCTTCATGTTTTCTGGTTTCTTAACCCTCTGTCACGGGTCTTCTTAAGAAATCTCAATATTCTGTAAACTATCTCCAGATATTCTTCATTTGAACTATTCATATATTGACTTATAATGCTGGCAGAATAAACAATATTATGTCTAATGCGTGACAAATATATAGTTTTTTTACTAATTTCTGGTTTCTACCTTTTTCCACTGGTTTATTTTCTCTTTCTGAATGTTAACTTTTCATTTAATTTCATAGGAGTCCAACAGGTTTACACCTCAACATCCTTGTCACTTTTAGTAATTCTGAGATGTATTTTATTTGGGATATCACAATTCTCATCTTGAACCTGGCCACTTCCAAGCTTAGAGAGTATCTCATAGCTCCTAGATTCTTAATTTCAAAATTTCTGGCAAGATTATTCTTAATTTTCTTAATCATTTTTTCATCATCTCCTGTTAGGATCATATAATCTATATAGACAATAAGTATAGTTTTTTTATATTCATGTGTCTGTTTTATGAATGTTGTATGATCAACTTGACATTGAATATATCCATTAAATTTCATAAGTTGATCAGATCATGTACCTGTGGAGATTGTTTGAGGTCAGAGGGTATCTTCCTTAGTTTACAACCAGATGTTATTTGAGCTATTTTTCAACTATGATGGGATATCCATATATAATTCTTTCTTGAGATCTTCAATCAAAAAGACATTTTGATATCAAGTTATTGTAGTTCTTACTCTTTATTCATTGTCAAGGAAAGAATTCTTATAGGATTCAAGCTTGACTACTGGTGCAAAGATTTCTTGGCAGTCTATCCCATAAAAACTGAGTGAAACCCTTGGCCATTAATCTAACACTGAACCTCTCAATGCTCCCATTTACTTTGTAATTGACATTGAACACCCATTTACACCCAACCGGTCTTTTGTCTGGAGGAAGCTTTGTAACGGTCCATGTGTCATTTTGATCAAGTGCTTAGATTTTCTCGTCAACCACATTTTTCATTCTGGACTTTTAAGTGCTTCATGAATAGACAACATACTTCTATATAGGATAATTTGTGCAACTTTTTGTCTTCTCAACTGGATTCCACGTCTCTTAGAACTTCATAGATGTGTGAGTTTGGGTTTTGTTGTGACCAGTCTTGTGGTTGCATATCGTCCATGTCTTGCTCCGTGGATTGCTTTCTTCTAGTGTATACATGAAGTTTCTTGTTCATTTCCTTGTTTTTAATCTTAGGTTCGATATCCTTCAGTGGTGGAACTTGGGAGGTAAGATGGTTAGAAGAGGAATACCTAATTGTTTATTAGAATTGAATGATACTGTTGAAGTATTTTTTTGTATTATCAGTTTTGAGAATTTAAATTTTTTATTAGAATTGAATGTAAACCATGTCATGAAATGGCTGAATGATTTGTGCAATTTTAGAATTTTCCTTTATGAGGAATACCTAATTGTTTTTAGCATGATCATTAATGAAGGATACAAACCATGTGCCCATTGATGATTATCGATTTTGAAGATCTCCAAATGTCAGTATGGATGATAGATGAACGATGTAAGGGTTTGCACTGTGACAAATGATATACATGAGAGTATGTTTAGACAATTGACAGGTTTTTACAATGATAAAACTCTAACTTTTTGTGAATAAAGAGATGATGATATAACTTTGCAACGTAATGAAAATTAGGATGGTCCAGACGACAATGTCATAATGAAACTTGACTTTTGACAGACTTAGACACAAGAGATTTAGGATCATGAGAAAAGGAGAGTGGAGAAGACACTTATATGTTAAGAGAATAGTTCTTCTCGAACAGATATAGACCTCGATGCAATTCAACACACCCAATCATCTTCCCCAAATCCACCACTTGAAATTCATAAAAGTTGAAATGAAATTTGGTAGATAAGTTCCTGTTATGAGCAATCTTGCTAATTGAAAGTAGGATACAATCTAGTTGGGAACGTTTAACACCAAAGAAAGCTGAATATCTTTGGAGATTTTCACATCCCTTTTCCAAACGATCATAAAGTGAGATTCATTGGCAAATTTAATAAATTTAGGGTTTGTAATCTCTTGGTAGTTAATCAGAGCATGAATGTCCCCAATCATGTGATTAGAATCACTTGAATCTATTATCCAAGGTCGAAATTTACCATTGTTAGCAAGATAGGATGATATGATACCTTGGTGTATCATCATGTTGTTAGGCTCCAAAGTAAAACTAGATGTCTGCATTTTGTACTTGGTCATAAATCCTATGCATATTTAGGTTGGAAGAATTTCCTGTTGCCTCTTGTTGTAGGAGTGAAGGAATGTCTAGAAAGCCGAAGAGGTCTGCTTGCTCCGGAAGGTGCAGCTGGGTTGCCGATGGGAAGGCTGGCTGCTACTTTTTGCTGGAATGCTGGCGTCTACCTGTGGCTGCTTGGTGGAAGAAAACGAAGATAGGAAGGCTGCGGGTAGAAATCCGGTAAGGAGAGGAACTCTCTCAGCTGGCGGTCTGTCGAGATCCTGAAAGGAGAAGAAATAGGAACCGGGAGTGCCTACAGAAAATTTTTGGCTCGCAGGGAGAATTATGGTGCTGACCTCTGCAGGGAAAAGCTTTGACGGAGGGCCAGCAGAAGGACAGGTGGCTGCAAGGAGGGGAATTGGCTGTTGCTGCTGCTGGAGGGTTCTGTCAGAGGAGGAGGTTCTGCACATGGGATACTTTTTGTTACAGAAAAAATCCGATGGAAAGAATAGAGGGGATTTATGCTTTGCGAAAAGTCTGGGATCCTGGATCTTCCTGCAGCTGACTGATACTGCCGACAGGAAGGTTGGGAGGCGTCTGGAATCCTGCAGTGAGAAGCGCTCAGAAGCCTGCGGGAGGTCTGACTTTGGTGGAACGATCAGGATCTTGGCTGCCTCCACAGAAGAATTAATTTCCACTAGAGTGAAGAGAACATTATTTGCACTGAAGACAATAAACTCCCAGCTGGCGTCGAACTTGTGCCTGTAAGCAGAAAGCACCACCTAAATCTGTAAGGACACAGCAGTGTCTGCGGCTAGAAGGAGGAAGTAGCACCTGCATCTGGAAGGAGGAATTAGCGTTGCATCTGTAAGGAGGCAATAGCACCTTCGTCTGGAAGGACAAAGCAGCACTTGTAGGAAGCAGTGACGCCTGCAAGGAGACAGCAGCAGAAGAAGATCCGGCGTCATGAAAAAAAAAAATTAGGGTTTGTTTTGTAGCTTTGATTGCATGAAGAAAAAGAAACTTTGGGAGGAAAAATAACTCGCATACCATTATTCACTCGTTAAGTACATATATTGGCAATTGTATCTCCTACTTTACAAGCTTACCAAATATATCTAATCTTGAGTATGGAAATGAGATAAGTCTGAAAACAAATAAAAGAAACATAAACGGGCAAATAATAAAAATAAATCAAGGAGTTTTCAAAATTGTCTTCCCCTTCAATCTTATAGGATCCTTGTAGGTGACTGGCCGGTCCCACCATCCTGTATTTCCACATCTAGTAAATGTAGTTAGTGTTGCAGCTGCACATTATTGCAATTTACTTTGTTTTTGTATCAGCTTTTAGTATAATGTGCTACAGGATAGTCTTAAGGTTAAACATTTAGAATTTTCTTGCACTTTGATATGCTTATATTTTGGGACATTTTACAGTATTTATTTGAAACTTATTTGTAGAAAATGACTATAGACACATCACTGAATTTTTCTTTGAAACTTGATATGCATATTTTTAGGCTTGGTTTTAATATGAGACACTGCTATGCAGACGATAACTGTAAATTAGTGAATTTTGTACAAATGAAAACTGACTTTTACCAGTTTCCAACTTGAATGTTTGACGGTGGAAGTTGTTTTGATAAATCTTGTAAATGTGGTTAGTAATTTACCTACAAATTCTAGCAATTGACATATATGTTCTCTTATGAGAATTTAGTGTAATGTGTTCTAATATGCTTTTAATATTAGGCATCCAGATTTTGTCATTGCAGTTCGCTTCAGTAAATATGTTACGTGACCAGCATGATGCCATTTAAGGTTTTAAAACACTTCGTGCAGCCACTCAAACATTCCACATTAGTGAGGGAAGGAAATGAACCAGATATCTTCTGGAACGTAATAGGAGGGAAGGCTGATTATCCAAAAGAAAAGGTTATCAAAGAACATGTTGAAGATCCACATTTATTTGCTTGCATCCTTGACGAAGGTGAATGTGATTCTCTTCCACATCCTTGAAAAGATTTTCTGCCTTTTTTTCTGTTTCAGAATGTAGGCTAAGCTGTAATTACAACTCTGTGAGCATGACTAATGACAACTTGTGGTTCTCTACACAAACCTTCATTGGTTAACCGTTCAGGTGATTTCAAGGTACTTCTTAATTTGCACCATGTATTCTAAATGCTTTGAAATTCTGTTACCACTCAATTAGATTTTTGTCCTATGGATTTTATGCTCTAATTAATGCATTCATTATTAGTTCCCAGTCAGCTGAAGTGAGCATTTGTTGAGTTCAGTTATCTTTGGTGGCTTGTATTTTAAGTATGATATTTGATCATGCATATTAGATCTGACCTATGGTTTTTTTTTTCATTAATACGGTCTTTAACAAATTTAACATTTAGTGGATGCATTTTCCCTTTTACTTGTTTTAATCCATACTTTTACTTGCTTTTTTTCCTTCGGTTTTTTTTCTTACTTTCCCTTAATATCATGTTTGCTGCCTTATCCTCATTCTGTGTAACTTACATACTTCCCTTATTCTAACTATTTCACATTTTACATTTTTAGTTTCAATGAACATTCTTTATTGTTAGTTCACGAAAACATGAATCAATTTACGAAAAATTATTTATATTTGGTATACATATGAGAAAATAAGCCTTGTTTGGGAGCATTACACGTGCACACAGTAGTGCTGCATGATGTTGCAATCATATACCCATGCGTTTGTTTGTCTTAACTACTACCAGCAGTTAACATTATCATAATCAGATCTTGGAAATGTACTTCGAATTGAAGGTAGAAATGCTGAGAATGCAGTCTCAAGTCTCATGCTCTTGCATGAGAAAATAAGTTTATTCCTTTCCTCTTAATAGGGTAGTTTTGGAATTGTCTCGCATTTATTTAAGGAAAGAAAATTGTCTCTAATTTTTTTGGACGTTATTGGATAACTACCTTTAGTTTGTTGCTTGTGATTTTGTATCCTAGTTGCCCTATTATTAGGCAAATTTATTACAGGCTTTTATATTGGAAATAAGTGCCCCTGGATTGAGCTAGGCAATGTTGGGGTGATTGAAGAGTTCTTACTGTCCTCGAAACTTCCCATTTATAGCAATATTATTTTAATCATTAAGGCCATGGTAACAGGAAAAATGCATGGAAGCAGCATTATCCACAGTTCGTCTAAATATCCCCATTCTTTGCCTTCAAAACCTATCCGACTTCCTACATAAAGATCCCATCAGGCAAGGTTATTTTTAGTTCTTTGCTGACATAACAAGCATTTGCAAGGTGGATGACGTGGTTGAAACTTCCATAGTTCAAGCTCAAACTTTTCCTCCTGTCACATTAATATCAGAGTTAACCCAAGCTACAATAGGGAAGGTGAATATTATTACTAAAAAACAAATAGGGTTACAATCAAAAACAATTTAAATTGGAAAAATAACATCATAAACACGAATACCTACTAGGGGTGAGGTTCGAGGGTGTGGGCTGCAGTTCGAGGTGGTGGAAACTGAGAGTTGTAGGTGGTTGGGTGGTCTAGGGATAGCTAGGGAAGGCTGGCCTACGGCTGGATAATTGCGGGGAAGCCGAAAGGGTGATGGTAAGGTGGCCGCAACAAGGGGAGTAGGGGTGGAGGGCTGTACATACCTAACATGCTATTTAATGTGTGACGCGAGTGAGCCGCAAGCGCAACGTAGAGGGAGCCGCGGACTTCTCTCGTGACATCCTTCGTCTAGGCTGAACAAGTTTAGACCCGAGAGGGCTGATCGGCTCTTTCAAAAGGGATCAACATCTTCTTTTCATGTGGGAATCCAATCATAGTTATATGGGGCTTATATATGTGATTCTTGTTTTTTAGCTTTGTAGTTTTTGCTTGTGATTTTGTCAGGACAGCCTTTGACATCCCGTTTTTTTCTCTTGAGGTTGTATCCGACGACGAGAATGTGCTCTGGCTGTAACTCGTCCTGATGTAGTGTGTATCCTTCCTTCTGCTTGTTACCGCCCCTCCAACCCCATTTGCTGCCACCCTTACCATCCATTGCTGCTTGCCGGCACCCCTTCCAGTCCACCTACTGTTTATTGCCCCCCCTTCCGTCCGCTTGCTTGCTATCGCCCCTATCCACCCTCTCCTCGATGTCAAGCCGTCAGACAGTTTTAGCTTGAACTATGAAAGTTTCAACTATCATCATCCGCCTTGCAAATGCATTTGAAATTTAATAACTGGATTTTAAAATAATAATAATAATAATAATATATAATATATATGAAAATTAAATTTTAAATTGGCACGATAAATAACCATGCACGTGATTTCGCTTAAGAGGCGAGTGTTTCTTTCAAATCCTTGTGAAACAAATGATTATAACAAGTGAGCGAGAGTGGGGGACACAGAAAAGAAGAGGAATGTGTAGCCGTGCCCTAATCGAGCGGCTTCAACTTCTACCGCGACGCATGAAGAAAGAAAGGAAAGGGGGTGTCGGCGCTTAAAAGGGGAAAAAGTTAATGTTTGGGGGGTCGCCCGTAAGAAGCTGTCGGCAGCCGGAATCGAAATCCCGTCACCCGCTTCGGAAGGACTTTTGAATTTACGTATATATATATAATTTTAGAAAAATATGAAATCAAACTGACCTCATATTTTTTCACAGTTTAAATGAAAGAGCACTCTACCTCAAATCCTGTATCTATCCCGAGGGATAAACACAAGACTTGAGGATGAGACTCGATCAAATAAACTAAGAAAGATATGACGTCCGTTT